CTAGACTGATCCTCGTCCTAAGCTCGATCCCGCTAGCCAACCCCTGCCCGCCACGGGCTTTCCTGCTGGGTGCTTGTCATCATGTCCTATATTCCGGTGGCCGAGGACTCCGACTTTCCCATCCAAAACCTGCCCTATGGCGTTTTCTCCACTCAAAGCCACGTGAGCTTCGGCGCTTGGGCTCGGGCGCGGGGAGGTGGGAGCTTCGGTCGGTTTCTCCTGAGCCTCGGTGGAAGGTGCCTGTGGCTCGAAAACCGCTTATGACCTACCATAGCTGTGCACAATATTGAAATTCAGTCTCAGCTTCTGTGGGGTTGTGCGAGAACTAGATGCAAAGAGAAATGGGAGCTATCACCCCTCACCTGGACAGCAGTCCCCTGCGACTATTGTGACCCAGAAACGGACGCGTAGTCCCTCAGGCCTTTTCCTTCCAAGAAACTGGGTGGTCATTCACTTCAATGCTAGTCCTTGACCTTACAACCTGGAAAAGTACCAGCTGCCTCTCGTATTTTTGAGCAACTCCGAGGATGCAAGCACTTCCTGGCTTAGAAACTGTGAGACCAGGTTCTTTTACCTCTGGCCTAAATTCTTTCTGTTCTAGTGTGAACTGCTAGGCATTCCCTGAACTGATCACAAGCCCTGTGGGGCAAGAGAAACGAACTTTGACTTGTATTCATAGTCTGGTTAGAAAGAAATCTTTGAAAACGGTTTTAGTGGAGCTGAGTTATCAGCGAATACATAAGGATTCCTTGGGTGGGAAAAGCACATCCTTCCGAAATGTTTGTGGTATTTTGTGCTTGCTTTTTGCTTACACTGTTGATTCAGCTGTGTAAGCCATAGAGCAATAGGAGCTGCTTGCACCTAAAAGGAGTCAGAATATCTTTGCCAGAATTTTTCGGTAGCATAGGTAGAGTGCTTGCTAGCAAGCACCAGTAGAAGGAAGGAAGGGGTTCCTGGTAGTTGGTCCACCTCCCCACATCTGTTGCCCAGATGGCTGCCCTTTTGTATCCTGCCTGTGCAGAACGTCTTGGTCAGAAGAGTCAACTGGTAGTTTCACAACCACCAAGCATGACTAGATGTTGCAAGGACACAAAGTTTATGTGTCGTCCTTTCCACATAGGAGATGTGTGGAGCCTTAACCTGTGCCAGCCAACCACGTTCTGGAAACAGATTACTCCCACTGGCCTCCCCTGGTACTTTGCCCTCAGCAGAGATGCTCTCAGCCTAACCAGTGGGTTAGGCAGGAACGCTTGTGCAGACAAGCACATTGTCAGTACTTGACTGTGTAGTAAGGAGCTCTGACTTGCTCTCCCAAGGGAATCTGGAGTCCCCTTTTATCTGTGGCTAGAGGTTTTTCAGACACCATACTCTGCGGTTTCTTTATGACCATTACCACCTTTATCATCATAATCATCGTCATCATCATTATCGTTATTTTAGTTTTTTGAGACAGGGTTTTTCTCTGTAGCTCTGCCTGTTCGGGAACTAGATCTGTAAACCAGGCTAGCCTCAAATTCAGAGACCTGCCTGCCTCTGCTTCTTGAATATAGGATTAAAGGAGTGTGCCACTATGCCCAGCTTCTTTTGTTAGTAATACAATTTTAATTTAATTTTTAATTTTAAAATGTAATGTTTTTTGAGTTTCACATATGAGCCCTGCATCTATATCATTCCTGCTCCTCCCACTCTTCCCTCCAACTTCTCCCTTCCCCCTCCCAAATTCATGATCTCTTCTTTATTATTGTTACATGTATATTCATATGTATATATAACCCACAGAATGCATTTAGCTTTGCTCATATGTACATGTGTCCAGGGCTGACGGATTGGAATTGAACATTCTATGTAGGAGTTTGAACCTGGAGGCAATTATTGACCTTCTGTAGCTCTTCATCTAGAGGGTGGAACTATGTGGAATTTCCCATCAGGTATTGGTAGGCTAACTGGTGTCATTGTGCTGGTCTTAAGACAACTATATTGTTCATAATTCCTAGGTGCATTTCTCTGGCCATGGCTAGAGAAAATACTCTATCAACAGGTATCCTGGACCACTGGCTCTTAACTGTCTTTTTGCTTCTTCTCTGGTGATTTTCCCTGAGATGGGATTGCGTTGCAGATGTATCACAGGGTTGGACACCCATGATGAGTTGTTCTCTCCATTTTGACCAGTTGTGGATCTCTATAATGATTTCTATCTGCAGAAAAGAGAATCTTCTTTGATAATGGGTGACAGTTATACCTATGATTAGGTCACAGAGCTGACTCAATGATAGAGGTTCTTTCTTGATTTCAGCAAGACATAGGATGATTGCTCCAGGGTCTATTCTGTACATCACCTGAATGGACTATCACCTGGATCCATGTAGCTCAGCTATGTGTTCTTTGAAGCAGATTGGGGAGACTGAGTCCCATGGAGATACAGAGCTGAGGACATTAGGTTTCTTCAGCAAAGCTTTTCAGGCTTGTGTGACCTCAGTCTATTGCCATCTCCTAGAGGCTACCTGGCAGCCCACTGAAAAAAGCAGGTACTAGAGACAGGGCCAGCCAAGAATTCTGCCCCTCAGCTCCCATGAATTTCCTAGAATGGAAGAACTGCTGGTTCAGGTGTCAAGGAAGCCTGGCTTAGGACAGAGTTCCAGGAGGTGAAGTCTTCCAACATGCTTGGTGTTGTGGGCCCAGAGACCAGCCTTGACAAAATATTTGGGCCACTGTATTCATCTGAACTCATGCAGAGCTTTTATGGGGATATAAAGGAGATTCATTGACGTGGGTGGATCGCCGTGGCTTCTGCACCACCCTGCAACCTGAGTTCGAGCTACCACAGAGCTGTTACTCCCAAGTTTCTGGATGTGGAGCACTTACTGCTCTGCCTCATGGGAGAATGGCCTGAGCAAAGCCCTAGGCCCAGTATGAAAAGGAATTCAGATTCTTGGTAAGGTGGTGAGCAGCTCATCACTAGAGGCATGTAAGCAAAGTTGGGAACTTTGCCTCCACAGGCTACCTGTTCATTTTCCATCAAGAGCTTCTTTCTTGTCCTGGATCCTGGTCCTCAGTCCTCTCTTTATGGCGGTTGTCCCAAATGAACCCATGGGTCCCTAAATATTGGGTGGCTGTTACAGTGAATGAGCTGGGTCTATAAGAACTGACTGTGCCATTCTCCTCCTAGCCAAAGCCACGGATTGGTGTGGCTATCGGTGACCAGATCTTGGACCTCAGTGTCATTAAACACCTCTTCACTGGCCCTGTTCTCTCCAAACACCAGCATGTCTTTGATGAGGTAGGACATTATGTCGTGGATTGTTTCATTCCACTGCCTACTACAAATGAGTTAGTATTTTTCTTAATCACAGGTTATCCCTGGATAAGAGAGAGCTATTCTGAGACATACAGGTGACAGAGGAGGTAGCCTTGACACCTTAGGGTGGTTTCTCAGTAGAATGTGAGCTCCTAAGTCCAGTGAGTCTTACCAAGTTGCCTATAAGGTGAGGATATTATGTAACTATGGCTCCCCTTTATACTGGGTTGTTCAGGCTTTGGTCTTTCAAGGCCCAGGAAAACTTTGAGAAAAGGGGCCATGAGCCTTACAGTCTAGATTTGGGGTACAACTTGAGACAGTCATCCTGGCCTCCGTGCGTTCATGGGGAATGGTTGCTCAGTCTTTCAAGGGTACAGTCCTGGAGCATCCAGCTTTGTTTGTGTCGATGGAGGATGGTTGCCCCTGTCATCTAGGTGTTCAGTAGCACCTGGAAACAGCCAGCTTGGCCTCCATGTGTGTGTGAGGTGGGTCTAACTTCCCTCCTTCATCACAGGTCAGCTCTTAGGATCTGCTTTTTCCTGACACATGGTAAGGTATTTACTGAGTACCTCTTTTGTGCAGGAGCTTTGCACACATCCTCTCTGTCAGTTCTCCTGGCCACCCTCTGGCACAGAGTCAGTATTGTCACCAGATAAGTGGGACTTGTGCAGTTTGTGGGTTGCTGTCCACATAAAAGCTCTTGAGCATTGATTGTGGGGTGCATATCCAGGGCATCAAGAAGAGTGACCAGCTTTCTCTAGCTCTATGCAGAGAGGACAAAAATGTGAACAAAGGTCCCAACTTGTGAATGCATGGAGAGATGTTAGACTCTGGCAGGAGGGATAGCTAAAGGATTTTCTCAGGCATAACCATCTCAAATCCTGTTTTGGTCTTAGACAACTCTCAACAGCTTCATGGGCCTGGGCCAAGCTGCCTGGAAGGAGGCAAGAGCATCCTTGCAGAACTTGCTGTCTGCCAGCCAAGCCAGGCTCAGAGATGACAAGGAGCTTCGACAGCGGTGAGGAATACATAAGAAAAGAGGAACATGTCAAGGGAGATGAGGCTGGCCTAGTTGCCAGTACCCTTATACATTTCTGCTTGACTGACTAGCCTGGTATAGTCAGGCCAACATCATCCAGCCCTGTTCTGGGCTGCATGTTGGTGGGAGGGCTCTGGGCCTGGAAGACTGGATGGAGCCTCTGATTCTCTGTTTCAGTGCATTCACCTCCCAGGCTTCTGCCAAGATGCACCTTCCTGCTTCCATAGGTGAGTCTTGTTTCCCTGTTATATCAAGCAGAGTAGTTTAGTAGGTTTAGATGGCTGGACAGGTGCACTGGATCCTCATATCTTGGTGGAGAGACAAAGGTGTTAGGATTACCAGCTGATCCCAACATGATCAAGCTCAGCACGCAGTTAGCCTTGGCTCAGGTTGTCTCAAGCCTGCTTCCCTCAAAGAAGCAGCAGCCTGTCTTAAGTTTACAACTGGCCCGATAGCTCCTTGTACAACAATTTGCTCCTTCTTCCCAGAAGGTTGTTGGGCGAGCATTCTGAGCTATCAGGAGAGAGCGTTTTGAGGAAAGCCAGAGGACCCTGCAGGGCTCATGTATGCATTTGGCCAAGCATCTAATTTGACTGACTCAGCAAGTTGCTGTCAGTACAGCCGGATAGCCTGCAGCTGAGATGGGGCCTTCAGCCTGTGGCCAGGCATAAGCTGTATCCTTGTATGTCAGCCATGAGAGGGAGCATCTGCTCTTGGCTTGGTGGGATGCCTGTGATGTGAGAGCTGTACAGTTCTGCCCTGGAAGGATGGGGTTTCCTGAACCAGTTTCTCCATTCGGCAAAGTCTTGCAGAGATGCTAGTGCCCACAGCTAGGTGGAAGGTGGACTGGAAGATGGGCACATCCCTTACTTCCCTTTAGGACTGTGCTAGGCTTTTACAGCAAACTAGTTGTCTTCTAGGGGTCCTTCATCCTTTCTAGCTAATTGATGCTGTGACTTCCTGTTTTTATGGTCATGTTTTGTAATAAATACATTCACTATTACTAGGACTGAATGTGGGAAGTCGTGAGTACAGTTCAGGCTGGCAACCCCTTACTTAGCTGGTGCCCAGACTGTGTTTCCTGTCCTTATCTTTCACCTCCACTTCTAGTCCAAGATGCTGGGATTGGGGTACTTAGCTTTGCTTTGGGTGAGTGGGTGGGGGTATATGGTTTAGGAAGGTGAGTAAGCAAACTACCCTATGTGGCTTTTCTAGTACATCTTAGTAATTCATTCACATATGAGAGAGGAGCACCTGGATTCATGAACCTCCATGTTCAGCTCATCACAATCAACAGGCACTGATATACAAGTTCAAATACAGAGACAAGATGCCTTGTTCTTGGTGCTGAGGGCCAGTCACATGAAATAAGGGCTGAGCTGGGACCAGCTTGAATAGTGACAGTTTCTTGAAGATCTGCAAGTATGGAGCACAGTGAAGCCCACTCCAAAGAAGGGTTCAGTAGTAGTGCCTTAGATTTGCCAGGATTTAAACCAGCAGAGATAAGGAAGGAGTGAGGCTAAGGAGCAGACATATATCAAGCAAAGGCATGTCAAGGGTTGACCATATGGGGGTCACAGCAGTTATGTGTGGTACAAGTTGGGAGAGAGTGGTAGCAGCCATTTCATACTTAAATTTCACTGTCTAATTCAGAAAGTGTGGGCTTACTTTTTTTCCGAAGGGATCCTTGAGTCTTGAGAAGGGTGTGAGTCCCTACTCTTGGAATGGGACTTCCTCCATCTAGGTCACTGGCTGTTTTGTGTCTTCCTTCCTCAGGAGACTACACGGACTTCTACTCCTCTCGGCCGCATGCCACTAATGTTGGCATTATGTTCAGGGGCAAGGAGAATGCGCTGATGCCCAATTGGTATGTCCTAGACCAGATGTTGAGATAAATTCAGTATCATCTTTCTCTTTACAGTATGCTTTTCAGCCAGGCATTGGTGGTGCACGCCTTTAATCCCAGCACTCGGGAGGCAGAGGCAGGCGGATCTCTGTGAGTTCGAGGCCAGCCTGGTCTCCAGAGCAAGTGCCAGGATAGGCTCCAAAGCTACACAGAGAAACCCTGTCTCGAAAAACAAACAAACAAACAAAAAATACAGTATGCTTTTTCCCAGGAGCTGCAAAGACCCTCATTGGTCAAAGCAGCCTAGGAAAAAAACTAGAACTGATGATGTTACAGCCTCTGGAAACAGCCGACCTTGCTTCTGGTTCCCTCAGCATGACTTTAGGGGTGGAGGCAGAGCCTGTGGGTAGGTCCCTTCATCTCCCCTCTGGAGAACAGATATGGGATTCGATTCCCTGTGAGGCTTGATCTCTAGATTCTTTGGTTGGCAAACTGCCAATGTTCTAACCATGAGCATGCTGGGAAAAAAAAAATCAGAAATCTAAAATACTTCCAGTCTCAAGCATTTTAGAGGGGAGGCTCAACCTGTATTATCTTTATTGTAAAGAATATGTGATTAGGCAAACACTGAGCACCACTCTGAATCACATCACAAGAAAAGGAAGGCCTCTTGTTCCTACTCTGGGAAGGAAATGCAGGCCAAAGGCTGTGGCTCCCCCAGCTCGGTTCAGATGAGGGTAGGAATGCATTTCCTCACCCAGCCTTGCCCCTCACTTCCTCATCCCTGCCGTTTGGATAGAGGAGTTCTGGCACCCTGGTGACAGGCAGCTCCTTTGAGGCTAAACTGTCTGCTGGATAATTTTCCCTAAGGTCATGAGAACAGACAGTTTCTGATTGGCTGAGGATAAACACAACCTGGAGCTCTGCAGGGTTGCAGTCTGTCATATCCACCCACCTTCAGCAGGAGCCTGGAGACCTGGCCCAGCCTGCTATATCTTCCAAGTCTGACCCTTATTTTCCATTTTCTGGTTGCCATGGACAGTCCTTGTAGCTGTATCTCTCTCTCTCCCCTGCCTATGTCTTCACATGGCTATCTCCTCTTCTCTGTGTCTTCTACCTTGTACAGAGGCACTCTGGGAAATAGGGACCCTCAGATTATCCAGGGCTATTAATTACATTTTCTGGGGGTGGGGGTATAGACAGATCTTTGGGGGGAGCTGCCACTCACTGCAGTGCAGGCATAACCTCTTGCTTTATTCAAAACAAGCGTTGGTGTTTATCATATCTCTCTTCTCATCACGTAACTCTGTGTGTTTCAGGCATAACCTCTTGCTTTATTCAAAACAAGCGTTGGTGTTTATCATATGCTCTATTCTCATCACATAACTCTGTGTGTTCATCTAAGAGCAACCCCCTCCCCCGGCCCCACCTAGCTTGGTAGTGTTTCGATATTTGGGAAAACTCTTTTATTTCCTCTCCATATTCTTGTTTTACAAGCATCTTCCTACAGTGTTCCCCAGCCTTGGATTGCTATTTGTTCTGAGCTTTATGATTTATTCCTAGGGTTCCTTTGTATTGGAGATGGACAGGGCCCCCAAAGGAAGCAGCGGAACTCTGTCTGTGGTCACAGAAGCCTGGGTTCTTTATTTGTCCTCCTCACTATATAGCTAGCCCTAGCTGGCCTAGAACGTACTATGTACACCAGGCTGCATCTAGCTTGTGATACGCTTCCTGTCTCTTGCCTTCTGACTGCTGGAATTGCAGGCACGCCCTGCCCCCTTTTCTTCTTAAAGCCGAGTCATTTCCCCCTGTGTGATATACCACGTTTGTTTTCTCCATACACCTTTCCATGGACACTTGGGGACATGTTTCAACTTTTGAATAATGAGTGTATATTGACTCTCTTTCTTTCTGAAGTTTGATTTACACCATGTAACTGCTTTGGCACCCATGGCCTCTTACCCTCTTTGTTAGGCTCCACTTACCTGTGGGATACCATGGCCGAGCTTCCTCCATCGTGGTATCTGGCACCCCAATCCGAAGGCCCATGGGACAGATGAGACCTGATAACTGTAAGTGACTCCAGTATCCAGGCACTGCCAGTTCAATGCCCAGCTCTGCCCTGTCTCTATGAGCTCTGTAATCTGGTGTTGATGGTTCCTCTTATCTGCTGTCTTTCCAGCAAAGCCTCCTGTGTACGGTGCCAGCAAGCTCCTGGACATGGAGTTGGAAATGGTGCGTTATGTGTAGAGTTTTATTGAGTGGGATCCACAAAGGCCTGCAGCAGGCAAGCTCTCTTTCTGGGGGAGCGGTTCACACCTATCCAGCCACAAATAGCAGCCCTGTGAACCCATCTGACCGTTGAGTGCAGTTGATGCTTTTTCTTCAGATTCTGTGTTTGTGAATTCACCTACTGGCTAAACTTATTTGCAACCCAAATATTAACACAACTCATGACCACACAGAGAAGTGGAAAATTTGAGTCTTCTGATGCACACACTTGTCTCCAGTTGAGGTCACAGCAGGCTCCCTGTCTTCTTGTCTCAGGTCTCATTCTATAAACACGTGTTACTTTTCTAGTCTGTTTTTTTTCCCCCATATTTTCCACAATCTTGTATATTTTGAGCTGATTTTGTTATTTATAATGTCCTCTAAGTTAAGGGCCCTTGTACTCTCCTAGCGAACTGCAAGAGGGATGGTTTGCCTTCTAGAGATATGTGTTGGGAAAGCCTCCTTCATACCTGAGTTGTAGCTATTGATGGGAAGTTCACTGTTGATGAGCCAGTACTCTATACCGGATATCGTTAACAAAAAAAGGGTAAAATGTGGTTAGAGAAAATGACTTAATATTCAGTTGGTGAGTGCCGTAGCCAGTGGCTGTGAAAACCCAGCTCTTTTCTCCTGGTGGAAGCACTGTTTCACCTTGTCTGTTCACATTCATGGTGGTTTTATGGAATGTCACATGAATAACAAGCATCAAATGGCCAGAGCCACTTCATTACACCTGTGGCAGGGCCTGCACCATTTCAGAAACACGTTTATACCAAGGGTCCACTTTTGAAAAAAATGCTTATTTATAATTTAAAATCATTGTTACCCAAAGCCTCCCTTCCCCCCTGCACCATTTCAGAAACACGTTTATACCAAGGGTCCACTTTTGAAAAAAAATGCTTATTTATAATTTAAAAGCATTGTTACCCAAAGCCTCCCTTCCTCCCTCTTCTCCCAGCAAGGCTCCACTTTTTATTTAGATTGAGTACTTCATTATGAAAGTGCTAAAGACCCACTTGTAGTTTCGAGAAATGAGGTGGTGATCCCCTGGACTTGAAAGTGGTGGTGTGCTTTGTGCCTCTGTGCCTCCGGGCTTTTGTCTTTTCATCTTGATGAAAACTTTGCATTGTTTCAACCCTGTCACAGAACAAATAGAGCTGATCTTCATGACGGTAGCTGAGTCTGTGCTTTGAAGGCACCCCACCCCCCACCCCATGACATGACTGGTGGTTCTGTTGGTTCATGGCTGTCACACAATGCCATTCGTCTGGGGACAGGTTGGACTGTGAGCCACCATGTCAGGTGCTCTGGCGTGGCCACACCTGATGCTTCTGTTTCTCACAAGCATCACAGAGCTGTCAGATACTAGCTTATGGAGCACTGGGAACAAAGGAAGGAGCAGAATGGCCTGTGGTGCCCTGAGGGTCAGGAGGAAACTGTTATGGGGCTGGCAGGAAAACAGGCACATGAGTTCAATTCCTCTCTTAAATGTCCAGTGAATTAGTACCAGGTCCTCAGGCAGCCCTGCTTCCTGGTTAGACTTTGGAAATATTTTCCCTTTGCTCTGTAACCCACAGTGACCCAGAGTGACAGGTCATCTTGATTCTAACCAACTTTCCCTATGACAGGCTTTCTTTGTCGGCCCCGGGAACAGATTTGGAGAGCCAATCCCCATTTCCAAAGCCCACGAGCACATTTTCGGGATGGTCCTCATGAACGACTGGAGTGGTAATGCCTGGTGGCCCAGCTGGTGTTATGCTCTGAGAAGCATACACAGGGTTGGGAACGGGGCAGGAGGCACAAGGACTGCAAGAGAGGTGCCACACAGACTTCTGAGGATACAGGCCAGTTACAGCCTCCCTAAGTCTCTTCCTCATACATAGAAGGATGGCACTGGGGGTACCTAAGCCTTTGTCAAGCCCAACCTATCTCCACTCACTGTCGCCAGCACCACCATCCCATTCTGCTGCTGATGAGCCGAGTATGGAGGGATTTTTGCCAGTGACTGAGCTGAGATTTAAAGTGCAGCAGCCTAGCATCTGGGTCCCAGCTCTGTACCCCAATACCATGTGTAAAAGGACATGGGTTCACACATCCTAGGAGAAGGCCTCCCCCTACTCATGAATTGTCTTATTACCCTTTTTTTGTAGCCTGGCACAGTGCCTCCAAGGACCCCGTCTTCACACTGAACACCCTTCTTTTCATTCCCCCAGAGGTCTGACTTGCCAGAGCCCTATAGAGAGGTCCATGTAGGTCAAGGGCAGGAAGTAGCTTGGAGTGAGTCTGTAAGCCATTATAAGCCCTATGCTTACTCTTCTCCCATAGCACGAGACATCCAGCAGTGGGAATATGTCCCCCTTGGACCATTTCTGGGGAAGAGCTTTGGGACCACCATCTCCCCATGGGTGGTGCCCATGGATGCTCTCATGCCCTTTGTGGTGTCCAACCCCGAGCAGGTAAGCACCCCTCTGCTGAAAGCCCTGCTCTTAAGTTCCTGCTTCTGCCCTTTCCTTCTGCCCTCTGAGCAAATACAGAGACTGTGGTGGTGCTTGGAGGACAGTGGTGCAATGGCCAGGCAGCTGTGGCTCCAGGGGTTCCTTCCCCTTTAACACAATTCATAAGGAAAAAAAAAAAAAAAAAACACGGTTTTCTTGCCTTCAGAGTTGTCTGAGTTCAGGGAACTACCTGGCAAAACCCTAACTGCATACAACTCTGCCTTTTCCCTTTGCTCTGTAACCCACAGTGACCCATTGCGCAATTTTGGTTTGTACAATGGCTCCCTCTGGAGTCTAATTTGTAGAATGCATCTGGGATAGAGGGTATAGGGAAAAGTTATTATCTCACCATACTGTTCCCAGCCCCCTTGCCCAGGACTGGGCTAGTGGCCCTCACTCTCACTCCACAGTTTGTCACAATATACTCTGCCCTACCCTTCACTGCAGTCACTCTGCCTTTATGGCCTTATGGCCAGCACCTTGCAGGCCCTAACTTTCATAGATGTTCTCTCAGATGTGGCTCTATCAGATGGCCTATCTGGTCCTCCCGTGTCTGTCTTGGGGTCCAACTCTCCTCCAGAGGGTTCTGCTCAGGGCTCTCTGCTTTCCCTCCCCACACTTTCTCTGGCATTGTCTCAACAACCTGTGTGCTGCTGCATTTCTCCCTCACTCACCCTTGTAATTTTATGTTTGAACAACCTTAGTGACTTTCCCTGCAAATTGGTCCTTCATAAAAGTCCCTGCAAGGCTTGTACTCCATCTCCTTACCTGTGTGCTGCTGCATTTCTCCCTCACTCACCCTTGTAATTTTATGTTTAAACAACCTTAATGACTTTCCCTGCAAATTGGTCCTTCATGAAAGTCCCTGCAAGGCTTGTACTCCATCTCCTTGGATCTTCTGTAGCTGTACCCATCATAACACACTCCTCTCCCCTCTGCTGGTCTCCTTCCCTTTTGTCTGTCTCCCTCTACCCCTACCCTCTTTTCTGTCCTCACAGGACCTATTGGGCCACTTGCCTTCAGTAACCCACACCTTCCCTCAGCATCCTTCCTCCAGGTCCATCTTCACAGGGCTGTCTAGACCCCAGCTGCCTCTGTCCTTCCCAAGATAGCTGCCACTCTTGTTCCTTTCCAACTAATCAGCATTGTTTTCCAAAGTAACGCTAAAGTTACTTTGGGCTTAACCCTTCATGCACTGGGAAGGATCTGTAATCCCTCTAGCATCACTAGTCACATTGTCACCATTAGAAGCACACAGCTGTTCAAATAACCCAGAGTAGTCTTTTGTCCTGCTAAATGATTTTTGTATTGCATTTCGGGGAAATGCTTTTCCCCTCTCCCCAAAGTATGGCATCTCTGCTTGGCCATCAGCTGCCTCTTCAGGTATTCCAGCACCCAGTAGGGCTGCAGACTCACTGTTTCCAGGCACTCTGCCTTCCAGGGCACCTACCTGGTCCTCTCTATTGTCCTAACCTTTCCTTACAAGTTCTATGGACCGTCTTGCCTCCCATGGTCCCTTCCCAAACCTACCCTCCCCCAGCTTCCTGCAGCATTGTTCCTTTGGCCCTGTGACCTCTAAACTGCTCATGCACCCCATCTTCAGCTTATTTTCTCCAGTCTAGCACATGTGACCTCCTGATTCTTACTGCCCAACCATGGACAGTGCACAGGGACTGGGTCTCTGGAGAAGAAATGCTGCTGCCATGTGGCAGTCTGTGCTGGAGAGCAGAGGCTGCTGGGAACTCAGCCCTCCCCATAGCCACCTCTCTGATATGCTCTTCCCTCCAGGACCCCAAGCCCTTGCCATATCTCTGCCACAAGCAGCCGTACACATTTGATATCAACTTGTCTGTTGCCTTGAAAGGTATGTTGCAGGGTGAATGGTGTTGCCCATGCTCAGCAGGCAGGCATGGGCACGGGCCATTGTCCCCATTGGGTCCCGAGCTTTGACTGGGTAACTCTAGAGGCACCTGCTCCAGTCAGGATCCTGTGTGGGACTCCTGTAAAAAGAAGAATTTGAGGGCCATCCTCCAGTTTAGAAGTATTGTCCTACATGGGAACCCTGGTCCTCCACTCTGTTTGACTCTGCTCTTCCAGCCAGGGTCGTACCTAGTCTCTGCTCAGATCTGTCACTGCCACTTACCTTACACTGCACATCAGATGTGTGGTACATTTCATCAAGTACCTGTTTGAAAGCCTCATCTCAGAGGCTCATGGGACTGTGAGAAGTAGGGCTCAGTCCTGAGCCACAGATTGAATAGCCCAGAGATCCATGTTGATGGTCTGCTTCCACCAAGCCTCACCATGGACTGAGCTTTGGTGTGAGGGGCCTGTTATGCAAGCCCTGATGGAGGTCCAGTCTCAACTCTACCCTTGTCCAGCTTTGAGGCTTGGGCAAGTTACCAAGTAATGCCCTAGACTGTCATCTGTGAAAGGGGAATCATAGCATTGGTTTTATTATACAGTGGTGATGACCAAGGAAACTGATCCATAGACCCAGGTCTAGACCTAGAACAGAACCTGTAACTAGGAAAGGACAGGTATCATCTTCATGTCCAGGATGGAAGAGAGCTTGCCTGGAGGGCACATTTAGTTCCCAAAGGCCAAATTCTACTTGGCTCCTTGTTCCCTGGATTTCTTTCTTTTGTCTGTGATTACACACAGGGTGTGCTGTGTCCTTATGGCCAGTTCCTGGGTTTCAGCCTTCACGAGTGGCAGGAAACTCTCTCTCTCTCTCTCTCTCTCTCTCTCTCTCTCTCTCTCTCTCTCTCTCTCTTTTTTTTTTTTTTTTTT